TCGCTGTGTCCCTGGAGGTGGAGGGGTTAGGTGGAATGGGCGCGGGGCAGCGCTGCTGTCCCACTCGGGGCAGAGTTCGTGCTGAGCTCTGTGAAACTATTTTCAGGGCTGGAGCATTTCAAACCTTTCAGTGTAGGCTTAGCCAGCGCCTAAGTGCAGACGTAGGTCACAAAATGCGTCTTGGTCCCGTCTCTGGTCTCTAATTTGTGACTTTCTACCTTTTGCAGACAGGTGGACTCAGGTGGATTCCGGGAATTGGCTAATCCCAGCCAGGACAAGCGAGCGATGTCGCAACAGCTCCTCTACCGCGCTCTGGTCTCTGCCAAATGGCTTTCAGAAGCCATCAAGTCCCAGCAGGCTGGTCTGGCCTTGCGAATCGTGGACGCATCCTGGTACTTGCCGAAGATGAAGCGGGACCCGAAGAAGGAGTTCGAGGAGCGCCACATCCCCGGGGCAGTGTTCTTCGACATCGACCAGTGCAGCGACCGAACCTCACCCTACGATCACATGCTGCCCAAGGCTAGTGACTTTGCCGAGTATGTGGGCAAGCTGGGCGTGGGGAATGATTCCCACGTCGTCGTGTACGATGGCAGCGACCAAGGTCTCTTCTCAGCGCCGCGGGTGTGGTGGATGTTCCGGGTCTTTGGCCACGAAGCTGTCTCCCTCCTGGATGGTGGCCTGAAGAACTGGCAGCGGGAGGGCAATGCACTGAGCTCTGGGAAAACCCAGGTAGCTCCATCTGAGTTCCATGCCTCCTTGGACAAGTCCCTGGTGAAAACATACGAGGATGTCATAGATAACTTGGATTCACATCGCTTCCAACTGGTGGATGCCCGCGCTGCGGGACGGTTCCGGGGAGTAGAGCCGGAGCCCCGCGATGGTAATGTGCCTTCTGAGACACTGGCATTATAAAAAGGGGCTTAATTTAAGGTGCCCGTCACTTTGACTCCTGTAAGAATGTGCTTGTCCTTTTTGGGATGGGACTTGAGCCAGTGTGTCCACCTGTCCTCCTCTCCTTTTGACTAGCAAGTGCTGCTCAGGAGTGGGGAAGCCATGTAATTTTTTTTCCCATGAAGGGCTGGAGTGAGGAACATAGCTTTCCATACACCTCAAAGATATTTATTGGGGTCTTCATGTACTGGTGCTACTCTTCCTCTCAGAACCTCCTGTGGAGGTGCTTCATCAGAGTGGGTTGCTCAGATGTGGGCAAAGATGTGAAGGGAACTGGGAGAAAGAGTAGAACTTGGCAGGGTTGTGTCTATGTGGTAACCTGAAGGTTACAGCCATCCTTCCTGAGTAGCCAACAACCTAGTAAAGCAAAATTTAACAAAAATAAATGTATTTGTTTTAACAAAATACGCTAAACAATAGATTTTCCTTCCAGTGAAACAGAATAGGCTTTGCAATAGATTTGTCACAGCCAATAGAGGTTAATTTCTTGCCTGTGTTGTTTTTCCTCTAGGAATTGAGCCTGGTCATGTCCCTGGGTCAAAGAACATCCCCTTCACCGATTTCCTCACAGAGTCCGGCTTAGAGAAGACCCCTGAGCAGATCCGCACTCTGTTCCAGGAGAAGAAGGTGGACCTCCTAAAGCCAGTGGTAGCCACGTGTGGCTCTGGGGTCACTGCCTGCCACGTGGCTCTGGGAGCATACCTGTGTGGCAAACCAGATGTGGCAGTGTATGATGGGGCCTGGGTGGAGTGGTACATGCGGGCACAGCCAGAAAATATTATCTCTGAGGGAAAGGGGAAGACGGTGTAATAAGCTGCTTCGTCTCCCAGCTGTGCAGGTAATTTGCCTTGAAACAGGATTTGGAAAAGATGGGTTTAGCATTCCTGGTTAAGTGTCTTGAGGTAAAGGTGTTGGATAACAGTTATACGCACACAGTGCTTGGGCACTTTCTCCTTACCCTGCTGCTGCTTAGTAGGATAAAGTTCTGGGCAGTCAGCTCTAGGTGACCCTGCTAGAGCAGGTAGGGTGAAACTTGTGGTAGGATGACCTTGTCCTTCCAAGGTCACTTACAACTTCAGCCATTCTGTGATTCTGTGACCGTTTTACCGTACCATATGGAAGAGAGAGAGTGCTGCTGCCAGCATGGGGGAGTACTTGAGTCAAGCCAAGCTCCTGAATCAGGACATTCCACCATGTTCATTCACAGGGTGGTCATACTTGTACAACTGTGCCTCATAATTCTGCTCTCTGCCTCTGTGCCATCCATGTGGCATCCATGCCACAAACCTTTGTGGAAAGACATGGCTGTTAAAGGAGCAAATGTGGCTTCCAGGTTGGCACTTAGGCTAGAGACTTGATTTGGATTTCTTCTTGAATTTGGACTCTAGCCACAATGTGTACTTAGCCAGCCTTGTACCCCCATGGTCCAAAATCCCCCTTGAGAAAAAGGAAAGATTCTGGGCTTTAAAGAATGTAAATAAACATGTTTCAAGGTCTTTCTGCTGATGGAACTTATGTGAGTGTTGGGTAATTCCTTCTGAGGAATTCTGTTTTTATGGGATCACTTTGTCTTGATGATTCAGATGAGATATTTTCTTCTCTCCTGAGTAGAACTGTTAACCTCAACAAGCTCTTCCCAGAAAACCCAGGAGACACAGTGACATGCCTCTCTCGTGGGTCTTTGCACCATCTTCCTCCTTTCAGTCCTTATCTATTTACTTTTTGGCCTAAAAGTCCACATTAGTCACTCACAGCTCTGTTTTTCAAAGACTGGATGTCATGGTGGAAAATAGACTGCATGGGTGTTTTAATTCTTTCCATGAGGTTTACCATGTAACCTTACCCTAAAAACTTAGGGGAACTGAGACCTGCCGAGGAATAGCCCACAGTGGCACTTATTTTTCCCTAAGGCTATTGTCTTTTTTATCTGAAAGTTGAAAGCACACCAGGTATCTCTAATAATGTTCAAGAATTTGTTTTCTCTAGGATTTTCTCCTCTACAAAAAACCCCACTAGAAATGCTGCCACAAAACCAAATCCTGCATCTATTCTGGTCCCCTGGTAACTTAGAAGTTAATGAGACAAGTTCCTCTCTTGGTCTTGCAGCAACAGGTACCTGTAGATATCCACATACTGTCTTTTCTAGGGGATGCTGTGTGTGCTTATTGTCACAGATTTGCCGGGTACCCTCCTAGCCACTGAATGCAAGGACTGGATTCTTTCCTATTGCTGAGTGTGTATTCTTTGCATTTCCTTTGGCCTTTGTTGGCTGCAGCTTTGGCTTCATCCTGGGCTTGGCTTGGATGCATGCAAGCTCTATTTCTGCTCACCTCCTGGGGAGCTGGAGTTTAACTGTACAGTTTGTTTCTTCCTCTGACCTCCCCACTTACACATAACTGCCTGACTCTTCTTGCCACCCTGTGACTGAAAGCATGTAATTTGCCCTGTGTGCATCCGGCCTAACAACCCAGCTCTTCAGGGCCTTGGGGCTGGTGTTACAGCAAGTGCTGAGCATACAGAGTGCACAAGGGTCCGAAACAAGTGACCTCTTAGTATGCAGTGAGGCTGAATTTGTGAGTGTCTGGCCAGGCTACTAAGTACAAACTAAGCACAGGAGTTCTGTGCCTGCTGTTTCTCCAGGAAATTTTAGTTATTAGAGAAAATTAACATATTGTTTCAGACTTTCAGTCATTTGCAATGGATGCAGAGAGCTGGCTTTTGCTCTTGTCCTTCCAGAATATTTGGCAATGCAGCTTAAGGACTGTGTTTCTTTTTGCCTGCTGACCCAGCAGTCCTTAGGGTCAGTGGGAATCTCTCTGCTTCCTCTTGAGACTGAGCTGTTTTTCTCTGTCCTGTGTGTTACAGGGAGGGGTGTGGCACACCCCAGCCATCCACCTGGAGATTGCAAACTAAGTGAAACTTTTCCTCTCTCCTTGCTCTACATTTTGACTGTGTGGTTGGATGACATCTAGCAGGGCCCTTCCCCCTCTCTGGTATGTGTGCCAAGGTTGGCAGTGCTCAACTGCCCTTCTCCTGGTCGAATTTTGAGCTACAAAATCTCAGCGACTCTTCTTGCTTATGGCAAGTCTTTTACCAGATGCTTAGTTTTGCCTTGATTTCCCCACAGTGGAGAAATTGAGAAATTCTTCCCCACAGCAAGGTACTTTGTGTTACATCATGTATCAAAAATCTGTCCAAGAGTGTCTTCTGATGTTCTCCCTCCTTTTAGTTGAGATCTGTTCTCACATTGTAGGCAAAGCACTGAGAATGTTGTGAAGACTGAGACAATGTTTTCAAAACCTGGAGACTGCAAAAACCTATTTCGAGCCATAACAGATGCTACTGGACATATGGAACAGCTGAGGGGACTTGCACCAGTACTATAAATGTTCTGCAGATCTTTATGTCCCTGGCTCAGTGGGTGGGTTTCCTATGGGAACTGGAAACTGAGAAGTGGGTATAATGCAAATCAGTAATGTTAATTACTTTCCTGTGGCAAATTTGCCACAGGGAAATGGGAATAGCATGTCTTTGGTGGGATAGGGCTTACGGTGGCCAAAACGTAGCCTAAACGACAGTAGGAGAAAGGTCACATTGACCTGTGGCTAACTTGTGACTGGAGTTTTTACACTTCTCTATAAGGAATCCCAGGCAGCATGTAAACTCTTTATTGGTGTATTAGTATATTTCACTATCCACAATACTTTTGTCCTGAAGCAGTTTTGGACTCTGAAAACAGTCTGGTCTGGTCAAAAGTAGTCCCATGGTCCCCTGTTCCTCGCATGCCTTCTTTGTTACCTGCCTTCTTCCTTCCGTATTCCTGCCTAGCAGTTGGGCTGCATTATTTCACACTTCATTTCCCAGCAAACCTTTTGTTCCTTTGCAAACCATTCCAAATTCGAAAGCAGCCCTTCTACTACCAGCAGCACTGTCACAACCACTGCATGAGCAATGGTAATTGCTGTTGCCTGCAGGGACTTTTTGTGTTCCTCCCATCTCTCCTGATCCCAGCTTGCAATCAGAAGCTACATGACCTTCTCCCAGCACTCTTCCAGCAAAGGTGCTGAGTGATCATAGAATCATAGAATCAACCAGGTTGGAAGAGACCTCAAAGATCGAGTCCAATCCTACCATGGTTACTAGACCATGGCACTAAGTGCCACATCCAGTCTCAGCTTGAAAACCTCCAGGGACGGTGAATCCACCACCTCCCTGGGCAGCTCATTCCAACGCCTGACTATTCTCTCTGTAAAAAATCTCTTCCTAATATCCAACCTAAACCTCCCCTGGCAGAGCTTGAGTCTGTGCCCTCTTGTCCTACTGCTAGATGCCTGAGAGAAGAGACCAACCCCTACCTGACTACCAACCTCCTTTCAGGGAGTTGTAGAGGGTGATAAGGTCTCCCCTGAGCCTCCTCTTCTCCAGGCTAAACACCCCCAGCTCCCTCAGCCTCTCTTGTGGTACTTGTGCTTGAGTCTCTTCACCAGCCTCATTGCTCTTCTCTGGACCCGCTCCAGCACCTCAATATCCCTCCTGAACTGAGGGCCCCAGAACTGCACACAGTACTGAAGGTGATGCACATATACACACAAACTTTACACACTACTTTGAGTGCAGGCACATTGCTTGCAGACCTCACACAGCACAAGGAGCTTGAGAAAGACTAGCTCACCTTCATGCCATGGGGCCTTTCTCTTCCTGCTCCAATAAGCCTGTCTCAGCTAGCAGTTGAGCTGGACTGTTATCTACAAGTGAACTATGTTCCTCCCACCCCCCAACTCCAGTGTAGGGAGTTTTCTTTGCCCAGCTCATTTTTGGCTTAATGGCAAAACGTCAGAGCAAAACTTGTCCTCCCTACCCTACTCCCTATAGAGAAGAGAGTGGCACTGATCCTACATGGCCATGCTGACTAGTTCTTCCTGGGTTTTTCCCTCATGCCACACAATCCCAGATAGGTGTTCCCAGCCTGTAACACTGTCCATGCCAACACACAGTGATCCCTGCTCCCACTGCCACTCCACAATGCAACACTTCCCTAAGAGCAGCTCCACAACGTCAAGGATGCATCATATGCTGTGTACCCAGCTGGCTCATACTGCTGCAGTAGAAGTACAGAGGGTTGCAGTGTGTGTTGCTTTCTGCAGGATTTCACTGCAGGCCTGCTGGCTGCTAAGAAACTCTCCATCTCGTGTTCAGTCCAGTATCCAGTGGCTGTCCAGTTTTTCCTGCTCCCAGTCTGCACTATGGCCCCCATGATTTCACTGGTTGCTCAGCAGGGCTGTACAGTGTTACACAGTCACACAGCCCCATGAAAGCACTTGCTTGCTCTTGTCTCTGTTTCTGTGCAAGGGTTTTATATATAGTTACCATCAAAGCAGGAGGAACAATCATAGAATCACAGAAACATTAAGGCTGGAAAAGACCTCCAAGATCTTCGAGTCCAACCTTTGACTGTACGCCACCGATTATTTAAACTTACCTCACCTGTATTCTATTGCTTGATTTTAATGGGCCTTAACAAGGGCATGCTAGTTGCATCTCAGAACTATGTCTGATGATGGTGTGTAATCAGTTGTGCATTTAGTCCACAGTCATCATAACATTTCAGTTGGTAACTCACCCCAGACTGGCTTCTTTCAGAAGAAGATTTTCACATACTATGGGAAAATCCCTGGCCTGAGGATTTCCAATAATTTGTGCTGTATGTTACAGAAGAGAAGGCTCTGGGATTGCGAGTGCTGTTCCTTCACATCTTTCCTTACTCACAAATATACCTCTTTAGATTTACCAAGAAACTTTTCACCCCATGGCCCTGGGGTGAGCAATACTTGAGGTGCTAGCCACAGCTGAAGGCTGGTGTTGATGGAAGAAAGTGTACCCTGAATACAGACCATTCTGGACTCGTGTGCAGCATTGTCATGAGAGAGGCTGGAGAAGCAGGAGTCAAAAACAAGAGATGGACCTAAAAAGAAGCAAGAGACTGAGTGCTGTGAGAGGAAGGAGGCAGGCTGAACCCTTGATTAAAGAGGGAATAAAATTAATGCAGAGCAGATTTCTTGGAGGGGTAGATAAGAGGCTACAGGCTGCCACCCAACTGCTGCCTTCGTATCAGAGAGCCACAGTTCTTGCCCTAATCCTATGCTTGAGCTGCAGCCTGTACAGATGGGGTCCTGTGTTCCTTACACACCAGACTGCAGGGCAGAGGTCTCCAATTTGTCATGGCTTGACTCAGAGCCTGAATTGGGGGTCAACAGTCTGACAGCTGAGAGCTGTGTGGTGCTATGTGATACTTTACTCAGGCCAGTGTTAGTCTGAGCCTCTTTGATGCACATCTCTGCTCAGTGGGGACTGTGGGCTGGACACTGATTTTGGCCAGAGTCTGTTCTATATAGGTAGGCAAAATATTTCTCATCCTCTCTTTGTTATTGGTCACTCAGCCCAATATAAATTCAAGAAGATTCTAAATTATTTGAATTGATACCCTAGAGAAGCTGAATTGTTCCTGTGCTTAAATTAGCTGAAGGTCAGCGATCTTGAAACCTTTTCCGTGTTACTTTCTCTTCCTCTCCTTCCCTTTGCACTCCTCCATAGAAGGAGCAAAGTACTTCACACTGTCTTTGTGAAGGAAATCCTGGGTTATTTGGGGGAAGGGTGATGCTGCCTTCACGTCCTGTAATGATAAAAGGGAGTGATTTGCAAGTAAAAGAAGAGGGAAGGACAAGAAGAAAAGGAACGTAAGAGTAAAATAATGTTTCTCTTTACCCAGCCTCTTCCCTCAATAACCCTCCACCTCAAAAGACACAGAGATCTAGATGCAAGAAAAACAAAGTGCCTGCAAGGCACCACGGCGTCTCTGCAGTGCTGCACTGCCCTGGCAAGGAAGAGCCAGGAAGCTGTTTAGGTGAAGGAAGGTTTTGGGCCACGCAGAGGTGAAACACCAGCTTTTCCTTTCCATTCTTAATGTGCTTATGCTGCTGGCAAGCACAGCTGTGCTTAGGTGGGAGTGGGAAAAACAGAGCTGCTGGAGAGGGAGCTTGTTCAGGTTGTGTCCGTGCCAAGGAGTGTGTTTGAACAGAGCCCCATGGGGCATGAGTTGCTGAGCGCAAGGCTCGGGCTGGCAGGAGCTAGTAGCTGAGGAAGGGCAGAGGCAGGGCTACATTCCTTACCTCGGGATTGGCACATCGGCCTCTGCGGGTGCTACGTGCCCGGGACAGAGGTAAAACTCCACACAGTGTTGCTAAAACCTGAGCTCTCTGTTGCCCGAACACAAACAGGGATGGCAGGAGCGCGGGGGAAGGATGCAGGGGGTCTCTGCCTGGAATGGTTTGTGCTGGTAGGGCAGCACAGGGAGGAAATGTGCTGAGTCAGCGACTCTTCTGAGCCGGAAGAAAAATTATTCCTGCCCCCTGCCAGCACTTCATGCAGATCCAGGATACAGTTCCCAGAAGTGTCCCTACGTATGTTAGCAAGAAGACAACTGTCTGCATATTTTGCTGCAAGAGCAGCATGGCAACTGATGCGGCACTGAGCTGTGAGCCTGGGGTAATGGATCTCCCGAAGGCAATGCTGTGAAGTACAGCGGTGACGGGCTTCATCTGCTGACTGCCAGCGAGCAGGTTGTTCTTCCTGTCTCCAAGGAAGCTTGCAGTCAAGCCTCAGGACTGGAAGCAGGCAGAGCCAGCTGCAGGGCTGGGGTTATGGAGTGCGGCGCAGCCCCCTTCGTTACAGCATCCTCACTGCAGGGACAGCGGGCTGGGAACACTACAGTTCCCATCACCCTTTTGTGCACGTCCCTGCAAAACTACAGTTCCCAGAACCTTCTAATGAGCCAGAGAGGATGCCTATGGAAATAAATGTCGACGGGTTTTGCATAACGCCCTGCACCTCCGGAGTGCTGGTCGGCCCCTGGTTAGCGAAAACGGGAAGAGGGGAAAATCCAGAGAGTGTCAGCTCTGTGGAGCTGTGGTTTTGCCCATCCCTAATAGCCACAGTGATACCCTCCAGCACAGAGCATCCTTCTTCCCCCGAGGACTCCCTTGGTGCTCACAGGGAGGCTCCTGGTCCCCAGGAAATACGGCTGCTGCGGAGGGAGAGGCAGATAAACTACAGATCCCGGCATTCCCCGACAGGCAGTACCTGCGGCAGTCCCTGCACGCCGTGGGAGAGGTGGGGGTGAGGATGAGGATGGAGGGCAGGGAGGAGATGCAGAGCGCTGTGGGGCTGCGCTGCACCTGGGACATTCCGCCACCCGCTGGCACCCAGGCCAAGTGGGTGAGGCTCAATGTGGGGGGCACCGTCTTCCTCACCACCAGGCAGACCCTGTGTCGGGAGCAGAAATCTTTCCTCTGTCGCTTGTGCCAGGGCGAGGAGCTGCAGTCGGACCGGGTAAGGCAGCTGGGTCGCCTCCCGCACCGTGCCCCACCGAGCACGGGGAGGGATGGAGGGATGCAGGGATAGAGCCAGACCCGCTCAGCTGCAGGAGCCACTGAGTGAGAAATGCCTGCTATTTCCCCACCCCCATCTCCTGAGAAGGATTTCCCCTTGCGGATCCCACCTTGCTGTGTTGTAGCCTGGCGCCTGTCATCCCAAGCTGGGGAAAAGAGAGGCCCTCTCCCCTCCTCCCCTGCCTCTCTGTCACCCCACATCCCCTGGGGCTACCTCCCAGCTGTGTCTGCCTGACTCAGCCTTGTCCCCTTCGAGGGGATATCCGCTCTCTCACACCTGGCCTGTATGCACAGTTGCACGAGGAGACTGAGGCCTGTTTTTTTGGCTTTCTCAACTGGGCTGATCCATGCTGGGGTGAGCATGCAGAGCAGACCAATGCAGGAGTTAAAATCCAAGCTGGGCTGACTTGGCTAGGGACTCTCAGGGGCCCATGGTTTCCAAGGAGTCTTAGAAATAGAGGACATTTTTGCTTAGGCTTGTATTTTCTTACAGTATAGGGCATTTGAGGGCTGGTTACAAGATGTCAGTTTTTTCTCCTCGTGATCTATCTCTGTTGCTAGGATGAGACTGGTGCATACCTAATAGACCGTGACCCCACTTATTTTGGACCCATCCTGAATTTCCTCCGTCATGGGAAGCTGGTCCTGGATAAAGATATGGCTGAAGAGGGTGAGTCTTTGAGCTCAGAAACCTCCAATTTAACATGACTGCTGTAAGCAGGACATGATGGGACTTGTTGTCAACTTTGTTGTCTCTCTTTCTCCTTTGGGAGTTTGATGTGGGGGAATTTCAGAGAGCTATCCCTGCAGCTCTTAGAAAGCATAGAGATGTCTCATTTACTAAAGGGGTTTGGAGTGGGTGAGGAAGGCTTCCTACAGGTGTTGTGGCTTCATGACTGTTTGGCCAGTAGAGATGTCACTGAGACAGAAGTAGACAAGATCTCAAAGCTTCAGTTTTTCACTTGTTCCTGATCCACTTTTCACTGGGTCTGTGGCTGAGTTTTCTGTTAATGACTGAGTGTTTCTAATTAGGAATGAAAACCCAGAAGACCAAACAAAACCAATCTCATCTCTTGTACTGACTGTAATAAAGACCATCATTAATCAGGGATTTGCAGTGTATGCTGCTTTTGCTCTGATGGGTTGTGGACTGCAGCAATTCCAGTGGAGCAATCCAGATAAACCAATCCCTCATTTGAGGTTGTCAGTGGGTCCAGTAGAATAACTTGGTAACATCATAGTGTTACCAGCCAGCAGTCCCCAGTGCCTTGTTATTTTTTGGATACTAGAGTCTAACAAGGAGCCAGTTCCAAAGACAGGCTGTGCAATCCAGCCCTTGCCAAGCACAGTTTCTGCATGTTCATTAGTCCTCTTGCCCGTCTCTCTTACGCATTTTTACCTAAACGAAGTTCTGTTCAGAATCATCAGTTTTAATTCCAAAAATATATCCAAGTAATGGTACAGGATTGTAATAGGCAAAATTCTGAGCTGTTTCATATTTGACATTTCTTATAATCCTGAGGTCAGACAGAGTTCATTCACAGGCTTTAACATCAAATCAAAAGCATAAACAGGAGTCCACTTCAGGCTTAGCATTGCCTTTTGTTCCTGCTGCAAACGCTCAGGCTGGCTTAAAACTAGCTCATTAGACAATTCAGTGCTGAATGAGAGTCTTGGAAGAGGTCTGAATGTGTCAGGTAGTGAAGGATCAATCTCTCCACCTGCATTATCTGTGTACTGCCCTGGGGACATGTGAGTGTTGGCTGCTACACACTTTTCCCTCACCAACCCTCTGGGAACCACCTCCCTTGCCCTAAAGGCCTGTTAGCAAACAGGTGAGTTTCAGGAGAGCAGATACTATAGAGGAAAAACCCAAAACACTTCTCTGTTTACCTGCTTTGAGATGAAGCACAGGGAAGACAAGCAAAGATTAAGTGAAGACATCTGGGGCTGCAACTCCAAGTGACCCAGGAGGTAAGCTAGGATTTTCTAGGGTCTTTTGGTGACAAGGTCAGAACAAGTGGTAGTTCTCTGCCTTAAGAAGAGAGCCTGACCAAGGTGATAACTAGTGCTCATTGAGAGAGGCTGGAGCCTACATTTGTTCTCCTTGGCCGGTAATCTGAGCAAAGTATTAGGAGTCCTCAGCACAGGCCTTCACCGGCAGTGTCTCAGTTGTAGCAGGCGGCATAAGTAAATTGGGGTGAGCATTAGAAAGGCAATGCAGAGAGCCAAAGTTCAGTTCTCTGCAGTAAGAGTTTCAAGCAAAGAAAACCTATTAAAAAGTGAGGCTATAGTGTAATGTCTCCCTGTGGGCCTTGGGAAACTCGGAACTGACCTTTTGCAAGTCATAAAATAAAGGTGGGCTGTTAACTTTCTGTCTTTGTGGCCCTTCTGTCCTTCTATCTTAGGCGTCCTAGAAGAAGCTGAGTTCTACAACATTGGTCCTTTGATCCGAATAATCAAGGATCGAATGGAGGAGAAGGACTACACAGTAACTCAGGTATGGAGAGAAATAGAAAGAAAAGATAGAGTGGGATGGGCAAAGCAGGGAATGTAGAAAGAAAGACATGAGTCTAGAGGGAGAGCAGACTTGGGAGAAGCAGCAAGGAACGGAAAGAAGCAACTAATTAAATATTATGTGCTAATCCCTACATAGCAAAATCTTGCAAGGGGACGACTTACCACCATTTTAATTACAATAAACAAGTTACAGGCTTGTTCTGCATCCCCAGAAGTAGTGCTGGATGCAGCCCCTGAAACCTAATAAGCTTCTTTAGCTTTTGGAAGAGGGCAGCTGGTTGCTGTGGCATACAGAAGAATGTTTCTGAGGAGAGCAAAGGTGTCATGGAGAGGAGGTCTCTGGTGTGGGGAGTCCTGGGGGTGTAATCACAGTGAAGAGCGTGGGAATACCTGTAGAGAAACCTGGAGGGAACAGGTGAAGAGATGTCTGTGGAAGAGTTAAATGCAGACAGTGAGGCACAAGGAGTCAATGCTGTGGCACAATCATGCCTTGTCTTGGCCAGTAACCTTTGAAAGTCTGTCTTCAGGGGACTGTTGGCTGCTATCTTGCTTTTCATCATGTCTGCCTCAGGTTGTAAGCCTCCAGCAACACAGTCACTTTGTGCTACAAAACCCCATCAGCATTTGTGGCATTTGCAAAAATGATTTTGTAGTGACAAGTGCAAACTCCACAGTATCTTCTGGGGACAATGCAGGAAGCACTCAGCTCAGTCCCTCCTCTCCAGACGAGATAGCAGTATTCTTGTTCCCCATGACAGCACAGTAGAAAGCTGGGTTGTGGTTTCCACTCCCCTTTCACTTGGGACATGGGGAGGAAGGCAGGTCTGTCAAGGAGAGGTGCTACCACTTCATACTGCAGGAGGGCAACAGCCTTTAGCATCTGACCATTGTCAACCTGCTCTACAATTTTGCTGTCAGGTGCCTCCTAAGCATGTCTACCGTGTGCTGCAGTGCCAGGAAGAGGAGCTCACTCAGATGGTTTCCACTATGTCAGATGGATGGCGCTTTGAGCAGGTATGGAGAAGGTAGAGTAAGGGGGGAAGGAGTTGTCTTTTGGGGAGAAGATCATGGATACCATACAGTCTCCGGGCAAGGCTCCTTCCCTCTCTGAGAATACTGGGTAAGTCATTGATTGTGCCATCACACTGTTTTTCTCTTGCCCCTTCTCTAGAGGTTTAGAGGATACTGTGTGATGCCAAGCTGTTTTGTATCCTTGCTAACTTCTTTCCTGGTTCTCTGTGGTGTCTCCTCAGCTTAGTTATAAGGCCTTTCCACTGGGGGGTATGGATTGGACTCCATGCTGCATGGTGCGCTTTCTGCCTTGCTCCCCAGGTGGAGTGGATGTTTGTAGGAACATGTGATTGTGATTCTTGCTCTCATCTGTTCTAGCTTGTGAACATTGGCTCATCCTATAGTTATGGGAATGAGGATCAGACAGAGTTCCTGTGTGTGGTCTCCAAAGAGTTGTACAACTCCCCCAATGGCCTGAGCTCTGAGCCTAGCCACAAAGTCAAGGTGAGATGAGCTTTGCTATGGCCCTGCTCCCGTGGCCTATGAGATCCTTCGCTCTTCTTTTCTCCCTCTCTCTTTCCTCTCTCCCCTGTAACCGTGGGGCACCTCAGTGGTGAAATACAGGGGCCTATCCTGGTGTTCAGCACCATGGCATTACTCCCATTGCCCAAAAGCAAGAGTGTGTGTGTTGGATGGGTGGTGTTCAGCTGTGTGTGGCAAATGGCTTTAGCAAGTGACCCTGGCATTTCTCATGCTACTCTAACATTCCCCTCATGCCTCCTCATGCCCAT